GGCAGAGACTTCTTGGCCAGCTCAGCCAGCGCTCCCAGCCCGAGGCCCACGGCCAGCCCTGGCAGTAAGAGAGGAGGCTGAGCGCCCGCCAGCCCTGTGCAGCCCCTCACCGCCCTGCACCCGCTCTCTAAACACACCTGTCTCCTACCCTCTGCGGCCGGCCGGCTCTCTCTGGTCCCCACTCATTCTCTCACTTGCTCTCTCCCTGCTTGGGGGTCCCTTAAAGCGGGGAGCTCCCCCTTTCGGTAGCCCTCTCACCAGGCCTCCCTCTCTCCTGCTGCACACTGCAGTCATTTGCAGAGCTTCTGTAAATACATGGCCCAGACCCCACTCCAGAGGCTCCAGGCCTGAAATGAGGGTTGGAAATCTGAGTTTCACAAGCATCCAGATGATTCTAGCATGCATGCAGCCCAGGGCAAGAGGCCTGAAATGATGATCCCCAGGGCTCTTGGTCTCCCTATTATGCCTCATTTTCTGTCTTCATCTCCTCGTCTTCATGCTCACCTCTCCTTTCTCTTTTTTTGTTTTTTAAATATTTATCTATGCATGCAAGAACTGGGTTACATAAAAAGTTTATCCACTATTATAAAAAAAAAACAAAAACTGGGTTACAGGTCAGAGGTGGGTGGGGTAGGGTGGGGGGTGCAGGTGAGGATGCACCAGAGACAGAGCAGGGAGCAGAACAGGCAGAATGACTGAAATCCACTGCTGAGGGGAGCAGCAGGGAAACAGGAAAGGTCAGTCTGCTGTGTCCTGTGGGTCAGCTCCCTGGCCCGGGATCAGTGGCTGCGTACAGTCCCACAGTGCTACACTTTAACCCCTGCACCATCAGGGGGGCCCCACCTCTCCATTCTCTGAGGCAGCTTTTTCTACACTCTGCCCTGCACCCTCCAATTGCTGCGCCATCACTGTTGGAGGTTATTTCCCCGACTCTGATTTCCTCTGCCTCTCACTGCTGTAGTCAGAACTGGCACTTCTGGATCACTTTCTACATGCCAGGAACCACTCCCCATGCCTCTTAGGCACGCAATCATTTTGTCCTTACATCCTCATGAGGAAAGTTTTATAGAAGAACTCCCATTTTACAGAAAAGAAAATCAAAGCCCGGAAACCTGGCGTAACAATGCCCCAGTCAGAGTGAGGCTGGGGCAGAATCACCCCTTGAGTCCTGGGCAGCCTGCCTGGTGTTAAAGTTGGAGGCTGTACATTGGATTCCCCCTTCATGTTATGACTAGGTTATCTTTAAACCTTGAATCATGACCTGCAGGAAAAAAGACAGGAGAGACCAATATATATGTAATGTATAAGATTTTCAATAAGATTTTCCTTCTAGTCTCAAATGTCCCATTCTAGTCTTCTAAAGGAGTGCAACCCACTAAACTATTTCACGCAAAGTGTGACCTGAATAGTCCTGTCACTTCGCCTCTTGTAGCTGCCATTTCCTCATCTAGAGAATGGAAGTAACACTCATGGATCCCGGGAAAGCGACACATGGGTGTGGGCCTGGCGCGCTCTGAGTTCTCAATTCATGCTCTGTTTCTCTCTCCTCTGGCAGGTATTTACCTCCAGCCTCTTCCCGTCTGTCTCTGATTCACCCTCTCCCTTGTTTCATTCTGTCAATAGCGTCTCCTCTGATCTAGGTCACAATCTCCCACAGTCACACCTACCCCCAAAGTTGGCCAAGCGGCTGATCCGGGAGGCCGGCACCTTGCGTTCTCGAGAGCGTCCACTCAGCTGGGAAATGGGGAGGAAGTCTGAGGGGGGGAAGGTGGGCACAGGACCCAGGGAGTACACTCGAGCTAGTGCCATACCCTTTCCCCAGCTCAGGTAAGGGGGGCCGCTGCCTTCATGGGGTGCTGCTGGCTGGAGGAAGACAATGATACCTGGGGTCGGGGTGACTTCCTGAGCCGGGCCTCCCGTGCCCTGCGAATGTCCTCCTCATCCAAGCCTCTGCCAGGACCATCCTGATGAAACTTTTGGGCCCAAGAACTCCCACAGGGCCCCTGTAAAAGAGGGGAACATTGGTAAGGGGAGAGAATATGGGGCTTGTTAGCCCTTTTGGACTCCCTCCCTGTACTTTTACCCCTGACGCCTCCCTTGGCCTCTTCCCCTGGGAGTCCTCTCCCCAGCCTCTTACCCACCAGTGGGGCCCAGGCCCCAGAGCCCCACACGGCAGAACGGTCCGACCCAGGTGTCCACAGGTGCCCCGCAGTAGGCCCCCCACCTCCAGCCACATTGCCTGGTAGGGGAAGAGGAGTGATCATTCTGGGGGTTGTGGGACTGACGTCCCTGCTCTGCCTCGCTTTGCCCTCATGTTTCTCCAATGTCCACTCTGAGACTCACCCACCAAAGACTCCCTCTCCCGGTTAATAGCTTCCCTGACCCCTGTTCCTCCGGGTTCCCTTTCTTGTTGCTAGGAATCCACAGCTCTCCCCGCGCGCCTCTCCAAACCCACTTTCTCCCTGTCCCACTTCCCATCGTTGCTAGGGTCCTCCCCCGTTGCTAGGGTCCTCCCCCGTTGCCAGACACCCACAGATCCTCCAGGACTACCTCTCCACTTCTGAGTCCCCCTCGTTGCTAGGCACCTCCTTCCCTCTGTTGCTTGGCACCCACATTTCCTCGCGTGTCCCCCCCATCTGGGAGCCCCTCCCCCCCGTTGCTAAGTACCCACAGATCCCAGGCGCCGGGTCCTCTACGCGTGGGGGCCTCCAGCGCTTCCGGCATACGCCCGTATGCCCGCCCCCTCCGGTCAGATAGCCAATGGCGGATCAGTGGCTCGCTGACCGACGTGCAGCACGTCCCGCTGTGCGTGAGGAGGCGGATCCAGGGGCGGGGCCTCGGGGTGGACGTTGGGGCCCGCGGGGCGTCGCGGGAAAGCACACGTGCCCATTTATGCCCTTCCTGTCACCTCAGGTGCCTTGCACTGCGCGGACCTGTCTGTCTTTGCTCCCTACGTGGTCTTTTTGTGCAACGTCCCTCTCCCTTAGAAACTCCACATTTCTCCTCCGTGCGAACACCTTGCCAGCTTCCATTCTTATTTTTACTTCCAGCAGGCTCAACATCTGTTTTAACACACACCTTCCCTGCAATCATTGCCCTTGCACACAAAGCCCCTCTACTTTGCACACCCACCCTCTGCTTTAAAAAAAAATCCCCGCACCAGTCTCCTCCCTTGCACGTATAACCCATGCCCTGCTTGCCAACGGTCCCCCTCTCTCACTCTCCCCCTCCCACTCGGCCCCGAGTATGCTGGGTCCCTGTTCCCTCATGCACTTTGCTTTCTCTCTGCTCCCGCCCACCTGCGGGATGGTGTGAGTGGGAGCCCTCTGTTTCCTGTAGGCCTGACATTTCCCAGAACTCACTCAGCCAAGATTCCCAGTGCTGAGTCAGGAGACTTGGCATCCCAGAAAAATAGCTCCCAAGTCCATCTGGGTGTGTGTGGTGGGGGGGGGTGAGGGGCAAGTTGAAAGTCTGCTTCTCCCCACAGCAGGCTGACTCACCCCTCTTCTCACTGTCTGGAATAGAAGCAGCTGGCTGGGGCATCTCCCCCACCCCTGGGAAAGGAGGCATGAGATGCTTTGACCCGCAGAAACACCCCCTGCCCCTGGCTCACCTCCTCCACTTCCTTTGTCAGGAGTCAGACCTCCCAGGAACTTCCCTGTGTTATGTGATCTCAGAAGAGCCTTAACCCCCTCAGGGTCTCAGCTTTTCCACCTGTATGATTTCTAGGGCACCCCTGGCTACGACCTCTCACTGGTCTATGAAAAGATGGCTCATTTTAGGGCCCTGGGCTTTGACCCAATGCCCTCTCTTAAGTGACTCAGTTTCAAGACAGAAACTACCCCTGTCCCCCTCCAGATACAGGGTCTGACTCAGGAGCTGGGTGACAGCTTACCATTAGGGGCAAACTATATAAAAAGCTCCTATGACAATAACTCTACAGAACTGTCCTGAGGGTGCCCAGTCACATGCTTCACATATGTGAGGTCATATCAAATAGCTCGCTGGCTACAAGTGAATATTAGACCTCTGGGTCACAGAGGCTCCATCTGTAAAATGGGTTCGTGGTATGGAGGAGAGAGACAGAAAGAGGTGCAGTAGAATATTTGTAGAGTTTGGCACACAGCCTGGTGCAGAAAAAGTACTCTGTACATGGGGAAAATTTCCTTTTTTTGTTTTTAAAGATTTATTTATGCATACAAGAGCTGGGAAGTAGGCCAGAGGGGCGGGAGTAGGGGGGTGGGGGCTGGTGGTGAGAGGATTCACCAAAGACAAAATGGGGAACAGAACAGGCAGGGAACAGAAACACACTGAAGGGAGCAGCGGAGTAGATAGGAGAGGTCTGTTGAGGCATGTGGGTCAGTCCCGGGCTGGGATTGAACTTCTGCTGCAGTGGCTGGTGATAGCTTCACAGTGCTCAGACCTTACACTACCAGGGAGGCCCCTTTTAATTTTTTTAAGATTTATTTATTTATACATAAAAAAACTGGGGTACAGTCCAGAGGTGCAGGGGCAGTGAGAGGACTCATTAGTGACAGAGTGGGGAGCAGAATAGGCAGACTGACAAAGTACACTGCTGAGGGGAGCAGCGGGGAGACAGGAGTGGTCTGCGGCGCCATGTGGGTCAGCTCCCGGGGATCCTGCAGAACTCTTTACAAATCCGTTCTGATCCAGCCAGAACAGTGGCCACGCTTCTGGTCTCATCACCAGGAGTTTCAGGGAAGCTGAAGTGGCCACTGAGGGGCGTAAGGATGCTGTGCGGGTAGCGAGGGTCTAAGGAGGGGGAGCCGCTGGCCCGCGACCAGGTCCCCAATGTCCCACACCCAACCCTGACGCGCGGCACTCCCTGCGAGCCCAACCCCTCCCACTGAGACGGGCGGGGCCAGACTAGACCCGCCCCTACACGTCACATCCGTCAGGGCGGGGCTTCGGGGCTTTCCCGGGGGGAGGGAGTATCGGTTAACCCCTGCGTGGCCGGGCGGCTGGCGCTCGGCGGCCGGAACCCGCGAGTCGGGGCTCCCCAGCCACACCCCTCGCAGGATTTAAAGGGGCAGGAGGGCCTGGGTCGGGCCGTAGCCCGAACCTAGGGAGCGGGCATGAGGCGCTGCCCGTGCCGTGGGAGCTTGAGCGAGGCAGAGGACGGGGAGCTGCCGGAGGCGGCCCGCATGGGACTGGAGGCGCCGCGAGGGGGGCGGCGGCGGCAACCTGGGCAACAGCGACCTGGGCCCGGCGCTGGGGGCCCGGCGGGGCCGCCCGAGGGGGGCGGGCCCGGCGCCGCGACCGAGGAGCCCAGCCTCCCCTCAGAGCCGGAGAGAACCGGCCTGGGGCCTGAGTCGCGGACGGACGGACTGGCCGAGCCTGAAGCAGCTGGCCGCGGAGCGGCGGCGGAGCGGCCCAGCCAAAGGACGGAGCCGGGCCGGTCCAGCCCCCCGACACAGCCAGAAGAGAGCAGCCCCTGGTCAGAGCTGGAGGCAGCCGGGCCCGAGACCGAGACCGAGACCGAGACCGAGACCGATGGCTTTGGGATTGATCCTCAGCGGTCCGACCTCCAGGTTCAACCAGGGACGGACAGTCCCGGCGCACAGCCCGGCGTGGATGGGCCCGGCACAGAACTAGAAATACGTGGGTCACAGACCCAGCCTGCGGGCGGCCAGCCCTGGGCTGGTAACCTCCGGACCCCTCAGAACGAGTCCAGCCTCCGGCCCGAGCCGGAGGAGTCCAGTCCCTCAACGGAGCCGAGCGCTGATGGCTCCTGGGAAGAACTGTACCCCGATGGCTCCAGGACGCCACAGGATTTGGAAACTGTGTGGAAACAGCCTGACATTGGTGGTTTCCCTACACAAGATTCTGATGGTTCCTGGTCACAGCCTGGTGCTGATGGTGCCCAGACACCAGATACTGATGGACCCCAGACAGAGCTTGAGACAGACTGCCTTTTGGAGGAGCCCGGCCAAGATGGCCCATTAGTGGAACCAGAACCTGGGGAGTCGGTGACTCACCTGTACTCTCACCTGGAGTGTACCTCCCTGACCCCTGTGCCCCGGCTCATCATCACTCCTGAAACCCCTGAGCCTGAGGCTCAGCCAGTGGGACCCCGCTCCAGGGTTGACGGGAGCAGTGGCGGCTTCTCCTCTGCCTCCTCTTTCGACGACGAGTCTGAGGATGACGTGGTGGCCGGGGGTGGAGGTGCCAGCGACCCCGAGGACAGGTCTGGGGTGAGTGGGATCCATCCTGCCTTTGAGCTAGAACCGTCCCCCCCCATGCCGAATTCCTCTGCTTTGCTTTGAGAAGTTGATCTAGCACCCCCAGCAATTTCATCTCCAGCTCCCTATTCCATTCACCGACCTTTTCCCCCTGGCAGGTGGGTTCTTAACCCTGACCCACTGCCTCCAGGCCTGGGGTCTAAAATGGCCACTGGCCCATGTCAGTGTGGTGCCCAGGAACCTTTGACATTGTGTGATCGTGTGAGTCTGTGCGCGCACACACATTTTTATAGCAGATCCTTGGGAGAGTCTGTGACCCCAAAATCTAAAGCACACGGGTATAGTAAGGCAGAAACGTGCACTTTCTATCCCAGATTCCGTGGACTGGGCCCGTGGCTGACTCAGGGCCCATCCACTTTATAGGGAGTGAGTCCACCAGTTTTATTAGATTCTCAAAAAGTTGTGTGAACCCCAAACACCAAGAGACCCCACCACCACTCCTGCCTCCAGCCTAGCTGGGGACCCTCCTGTCTCCCTGTAGTCCTCCAACTCACAGGGGCTGGGGGGCTTGCACACTCTTGTTTATAACCTCAACCCTCACCCTCACCCTCAGCCTGGGTGTGGTTCTGCCCTGGTGAATCAGGAGGCCAGCCGGGCAGGTTCAGCTCCCAGGCAGGTGTGAAACAGGGAATCTCACCTGGGCAGGTCTGCTGGCTGGGTTGCCTCCCCCTGTCCTTGGGCCTCTGGCTTGGGTGTCTGCCCTGAACCCCCCACCCACCTGCCTCACTTAGGAACATGTTCACACATGTGGCCACAGATGTGATACAGACAGACCAGCCTCAGCTTGTCTGTGCCTGAGTCGAGGAACTGACCCTGGCTTTTTCTGTCGCTGCTGATTCCTCTGCTGCCTCCTCGCCATCTCAGAAGAGCTTAGCTGCAGGTGGATGGAAATAATGAAAAGGGTAAACGCCATAGTTGTAGCGATGGCGGTCAGCACTCCCTGGTGCCCAGCGTGTGTGAAGCTCCTCACTGCTGTGAACTCCGCTCATCTTCCCAGCAGTCCTATGCAGTCGATACTAGTTGTGCTCCCATTTCTTTCTGGGGACACCGAGGCACTGAGGGGTCAAGACACTTTTGTCTAAGTCACAACCCTTGGAAGACTCAGAGCTGAGATTCAAACCCTTACTGAATACCACACACTTTTCCGTGAGCCGTCTCCGTGGCTTTGGCTGCCTGCAGGGGTCATGAACCTTGACCACCCTTCACCGCATTCATTTTTGTAGAGAATGAGCCCAGAAAGGATTCTTGGAATCTTTATGACTGCGCTAGGAGATTGGGGTTGTTATCTCCACTTGACAGATGCGGACACTGAGGCATCTTCAGTGTGCAATTGTGTGCTTAACGGTGGCCAGGGCTGGCGAGCGTCAAGATTCGAACTCAGTTCCAACAGAGTTGAAACCTAGTCAGTTTAAGCTCTGTGGGGCGCGCATCCAACTCTAGCTTGCTTTCCTCCCAAGCCTCCCTGTCTGGTTTTTTCTTCTCTTTCCAGAATCCGTCCCAGCCATGACCAGACACTTCTGCTCCACTGCCTTCCGTAGTGGCCAGAAGGCCGTTCCCAGCAGCAGAGCTCCCTCCTACCCGGCCTCCCCTCCGCTGACCCTCTGCGCAGAGGAGCCCTGTACACACTGTTCCTCCCACACCAGCCCGGTGCTGCCTCCGCCCGTCGCTTAAGCTGTGTCCACTGCCCCGGCTTCCTTCTCCCTTTGTCTTGAAATGCCACCTGACTTCAACTGGGACTCATAAGAGACTCAGCACCTCTCTTTCTTCCCGCTCTGCTCTCCCTTCTCATCAGACAGCAAACAGTCCCTAGCCCTCAACATGCATCTGGCCTAGGTTGGACTAAAACAGTCCTCATGGACTCCCAGGCGAGGGGAAGGGAGAGGCCCATCCCCAGGCAGAGACAGCTCAGAGCCTTCAGGGTTGATGGTGGGAATCCAAGGAAGTGACTGACCAGACTGGGGGGTATCAGAGAGGGCTTCCTGGAGGAGGCGTCATGGGCGCCGAAACCACCATGAAGCCATGAAGAAGCCCATATTAACCATCAGATCTAAGAAAAAAGAGAAGATACAAAATGCGCTTTTGATTTTAAAAAAAGATAGTTTTCAACTGGCCTCTTTAAAGCTCAGCAACATTGTTCTGAGTATCTATTGTATGTCAGGCCAGGGCTTGGGACATGGTCATAGACATGACGCCTGCAGCCCCTGCCCTCAGGTACTTGCATCCAGCAGGGCTGTAGCAGCTAAGTCCAGACAGAGATGGAACCCCAGATATGTGCTGTGTGATTTAGGCAAGTAGCTTCACCCCTCTGAGCCCGTTTCCTCCTCTGTAACACAGTCAACAGTCCTCCTGGGGTTGTGTTTTTAGAATTAAGTAGCTTATGGCACACTGAATCTTTGTCATCGTGCCTGGAATGTTCCAGGTGCTTAGTAAACAGGAACCTTTATTAATCACCTCCACCCCACAGCTGGCAGCTGGAGGGGGGAGGGAACAGGCTTTCCTGAATCGGCAGCCCCCCATCCTGCCTCTGTTTGACCTTTCCACTGTCTGGTAGATGTCTACCAGGCAACTGGACTCCGACAGGATAGGAGAGAACGTGCTTGATCCTGGGGCTGAGGGTGGGCAGTGCCTGGACACACAGCTTCCTTCTTGGGAGATGACCTGTACTTGCTCAGGGCCTGTGTATACTTGAAGCAGAGAACATATTCTCCTACTCATGTGTGTGCCTGCACACGCACGCATGTGAATCAGACACTGGCCAGCTCTCACGAAGCTTTGGGTCGAGTTAGTGTGATACAACGAAATCCTTGTTTTCTCTTTGCTTCTGTTTTCCTGTTGGGTTCTTTCCCTTCTCCCCGGATTCCCTGCCCACCCACTCCTGTCTTTGTTAATTTTTCCTTTCTCAACTTTTTGTATCCGTAGCTCTCTGTCAGTCTTTTTGGGTTGGTCTTTATCAGTCAGTATAGGTCAGGATTTGATATAGTAACACATAACCCCCAGATTTGGTGACTTGGAACAACAAAGACTTGTTCAGTTCGTTCTGAATGTTGACCCTGTGTCAGTGGTGGGTGAAGGTCTCTACTCCATGCTATCCATACTCAAGGCCCAGACTGAGGAAGCTTCCATTTTCTCTTAATTTCACTTAATGTGTTTTCTACTTATTTGTAATTCTTAAACCCCCCTCCCACCCACCCACCCCTCACACACAAGGAAAGTCAGGCTCCGATTTCAAGGGCCCTCCCCAAAAGGGATCCTTCTCTCATACCTCACTGGCAGAGCATCAGTAACCTAAGTTCAAGAGGGTGGGATGTCCCCAGTGGAGTTGCTCTTTACCACCAAACCCGACCTAGTGTTGCTCATTTGAGAAGGACAGAGAGACACACAGACAATAAAGTGACAGAGACGAGGAGGCATGGACAGGAGATCTTCCCACCTTAGTGGAGGCTTTTGCGGGGATCTTGTACGTGGACTTTGCTCATAACAGCCAGCTTGGGATCAGTCACTCCATGAAACCCCCTGGTGCCGGAGAGCCCCGTGTCCACCCTGGGTCCTCACATGACAGTAATCTCATCGCCCTCTCCTTGGCCTCAATCCTGACCCCACCCTGCTCTGTCTCCACAGAACAAATCCTGGAAGAAACTGAAGACCGTTCTGAAGTACTCGCCCTTCGTGGTCTCCTTCCGCAAACACTACCCTTGGGTCCAGCTCTCTGGACATGCTGGTGAGAGCAGGCCCAGGGCTGGGCTGGGCTACTCTCTGCAGTTTAGTCTTCCCATCTGGAAAATGGACTTGGGGACAGTCTCCACCTCATGGGGCTCTCTGAGACGTGCTTATGCCTGGGCCGGGCTGTTCCCTCCGACCCTGGTGTTTGTGGAAAAGCCACACCTGGGGGATGCGTGATCCTGGCTCCAGTCCTGGCTCTGCCCTTTATTAGTAGGTGACCCGGGGCAAGTCACTTTCCCTCCCTGGGCCATTTTCTCATCTGTGTTTGGAAATTAGCACTTCTGACCTCTGCCCACATCCAGAGCCAGAGCATAGTAGGTCGTCAGTAAGCAGCAGCCTGGATGTTTTTCCCCAGGATCTGACAGAGTGTCTCTCCCACATAATACTATATTGCCTGTTATGTAACTCTGTGTGTGTGTGTGTGTGTGTGTGTGTGTGGCTAGATGCTCTTAGGTTTTGTGGGCACAGAGTCTCTGTTGCAACTCACTGTTGCTGCAAGAAGGCAGCCATAAACACAGGGACATGTCTGTGTTCCAGTAAAACTTTATTGACAAAAACAGGCAGAGAGGAGACCAGAGAAACTGCTTGCAGTAAAGAGATGCCAGACGGGAACGTATCTTAGATCTAAGTCAGAGAAAAGACGAGGCCCCCCTAAAACCATAAACAAAGGCCTGCTATCTATATGTGTTCTAGTTATTATTGCTCAGTAATAAAAAAAAAAATCAGGACCCTCCCTGGTATGCAACGGGTTAAAGCACAGCACTATGACACTAGCACAGCCACTTCAGCATGAACCCCACCCCCAGCCAGGAGTGAACCACAGGGCACAGCAGACCGCTCCTGTCTCCGGCGTGTGCCCCTCAGCAGTGTTTCAGTCGATCTGCCTGTTCTGCTCCCCACTCTGTCTCTGATGAATCCTCTCACCACCCCTGAACCTCCGGCCTGTGCCCCAGTTCAGTAGACATAAAAAAAAAAAAATCAGACAACAGAAAACTAAAACTTTAGTAATTT